AGGGTTTGGGGTTTCAGGGTTTAGGATTTCAGGGTTTCAGGGTTTAGGGTTTGAGGGTTTCAGGGTTTAGGGTTTCAGGGTTTGGGGTTTCAGGGTTTAGGGTTTCAGGGTTTCAGGGTTTAGGGTTTGAGGGTTTAGGGGTTAGGGGCAACATGCTATAATATGAGTGTTCAAGGTCTTCGGGTTCGAACTGAGTTGGTCGGGTGAAGGAAGGTGGGAGGTCGAATGCATGTCCGAGCTGTTCCTTCCCAAGTTCTTTCAAATTTGCATCTGTGTTTCACCTTGTTTCCAGACTGTTCAATGTCAAGGGCCCTCTAGTTTACGACGCCGCCGCGATCCTGCAACTGTGAACTAGTGGAGGACTTTGTTTAGGATTCATCTGTAGTGTTCAGGGTTTAGGGCATCCAGGGTCATCCACTGTTTATGCACTGTTGCGCTTTAGGGTCAGCTTCTGTGACTCTAAACCCTAAGCCCCAAACACTAAGCCCTGTGTTTGATGAAACATGCTTGCGTGCCCCGAGGCGTAATATAGGGGCCTTAATAATTCGAGTAGGGTTTTCGGTAATGTTATACTCATATAATAACCATTGGGCTGAGCAAGCCCCCCAGAATATCAGGGCTTAGTTTATCAAGGCTTTGTTCGGCAGATTTGACAAATAAAGACAAATCCGGACAAATAAAAACAAATCCGGACAAATTCGGACAAACACACACAAATTCTGACAAATCCGGACAAATAAAGACAAATCCGGACAAATAAAGACAAATCCGGACAAATAAAGACAAACCCAGGCAAATTCGGACAAATACAGACAAATCCGGACAAATAAAGACAAATCCGGACAAATAAAGACAAACCCAGACAAATTCGGACAAATACAGACAAATCCGGACAAATTCGGACAAATAAAGACAAATCCGGACAAATAAAGGAAAATATTTTTTTATATGTTTTCAACGACCTTCGCGTGCATGATGTGGACCAAGAAGACCTGGCACAGGGGGTGAGAAGCAAGGTTTTACATGTATTATCATTATAATTATAACCCGGGACCCCCAGAATAGTTTTTGTAATTGTATAGGCCCCTATATTACACCAAACTCCAAGTTCGAAGCATCAAACTCAAGACCGCGGGCATCCGCAGGCTCTCAATCCTGAGCCCTAGCCTGCCCGAGTTGAGTGTCCGACATACTGGTTGGTGAAAGGGGTTAAAGGTTCTGGGGTTTAGGGTTTGCGGTTTTAGGGTTTCGGTATTCGGGGCTGGGGGTTTAGGGTTGACATGGCCTCGTGTCAGGGCAAAGCAGATCCAAACAAACCCGACGAAGACGGCTTCACGGCACTGCACTACGCAGCCACCAGTCTGCAACAGAGAGACGCCCTGGATTAACATGCCCTGGATTGGGTTTTACTGTAGTGATTTTTCTCGTCTTATCTAAGTACTCCATCAGCTGCTTCTCGGATTGCGTGTGGATGTTAGCAGTTGATTTGCAGGTTCGGGTTTTGGGTATCTTCTTTAAGTACCAGCCGCTAAGCTTGATTTTCGTTCAGGGCTTGTATAAGCCTGGCATCGCTGGCACAGCCTGGTTTAGGTCAACTTGTTTGGGTGCAAGAATCTCAGCAGCTTAGGTTTGTATTCTCGCTCTGGGTGTTTCGTCGGAATTATGCTTCGCTTTTGTGAAGACATAATTCCAAGAGAATATTGAGCTTCTTCATGCTGTCAACGGGGGAGTTTGAAACACTGTCAGGACACCCCTTTGAGGGTTTGGGAGTGCCCCCTACAGCGTTCAGATGCTTCGAGAGCTGTTGTACAGAAGCGGAAGCCCCTGAAGCGCAACACCGAGCCATTCGGTGTAAGATGAGCACCCTCAGCCCTTGACCCCCTTTACCCTAAGCCCTTAACCGAAAAGCCCGAAGCCCAGCGCCGCGTTCTTCTTGGTATGTGCTGCCGGGTTCCAACCATGCTTTTAAATGTCACCATCGATCTCGTTCGGCTCGCGCAGAGAGGGGGGCAACCCCATGAACTTGGCTTTAGTTCTTCTGTGGTTTCTAGGGGTTCGGGTTTAGGATTTCTGGAGTCCAGTAATCGGGTGGAAACAGGACTGGAAAGCCACGAACGTACACGTAGGACTGAGGACTGTCTTCGCTAGAAAGCCAAGTACAGGGTGCTTGTCGGTACGGGCTATTGCGATTGTCAGGGAGTTCCCCAAAGCCGAGCTCTAGGTCGCAGTGGAGTCAGCATCCTTCACAGGTCTAGTATAGATGTCTGAAGAATTAGGCACCCTGTCCCGTTGCAGTCGCCATATCAATCCCTCTATCATGTCTCCAATACTATACCCAAAGGCCTATGCTAATTGTCTAGGTGGGCATTTCAGGCGAGCCATGAAGAGACTCTGCGCGAGCCATTGAAGTTTAATCCGGGGCGGCTGAAGACTCCAGCCTGGGCCCCCGCCACCCTAAAGCCTAAACCCCTATTCAAAAAGTTGGCAGGGAGATTGGTTGAATGGCCAATGCTCCGGGGCTCTTCCTCCTCCTCCTCCTCCTCCTCCTACTACTACTACTACTACTACTACTACTACGACTACTACTAGATCGACTACAGCACTGCAGCCCCTCCAGCATCACGCGAGGTAAAGTACGGGCACCAGCAGATGTCATGCTTGCTGCTCGGCAAGTCTAAACGTTGCTTATTGGTGGAAGGTTTTGTGTTTAGCGGACCAATTGATTCAACCATTTTCAAGACAAGATGAAGGCGATTGACTCAGGAGTTTCGGGAGTGCAGACTTGTCTACGGAAGGTAGATTGCCTACACATGACTAATAGGCATAGTTGTGGTCAGTCTTGCAGGTACTGTCGTCTCTTGTGAGCTGCCAGGCCAATGCCTGAAGCGCAGGTAAATAGCGCTTAGTGTATATAGGGTTTACGGCCTAGGGCCTAGGGTATACAGGGTTTAGGGTTGATCCCTCTCAGTCTCGCTCTCTTGTCTTCTTTGTGTCTTTCGGAGTGTGTCTCTTGTGGCGGCGCTTCGCAGTGGCAAAGTTCATGCTGCTGACGACAATAAGGATGATGGATGCACGCTGGTATTGTGAAAGGTCGGCGTCATCATGTTTCAGTCTCGAAACCAGCAGCAATTGCTGCAGCAGCCCCACCTCTGCACAGCGACTATGGTGCCGAAACCTAAGCCGCACACTTCGACCCTGAACCGCCTGAGGGAGTGCACGACAAGTGGAAGTGGAAGAGAACTGCCTGAGGTTGATCAAGAACAAGGCAGATATCAACTTCCGCAACAGTCAGTTCAACGAGAAAAACCGCCATGCAGGCAGCGCTCCGAATTGCGATAGCATACAGCGGCTTCCGTCCTCACGCTACGATACTATAGGGAGCCTAAATAATTACCTATACTAGTTTTTTTTTTTT